CTAATGAGATTTCTTACTGTTATTTGGTCCTTCATGGAAGCTGCTAATCCCACCAGTCTCATTAACTGTATTTACTTGATTAACAGGATTCCTGGTGAACCCGGAATCAATAGCAGCTGGCTGATAATCCTCCCGCCGGCCATCAAACATGAAGCGCCCCTCTGGGAGCTCGGAATTTGGAGTCATCTCCATGCTCAGTTTCCGGTGAGTCCCAATGGCCTAGAATTGCTAGTAGACATATGGATATCAAACATAGGCTATAACTCAATCCTCCATAACTTTGCAGCTGTATTATACATGTTTGGCCTCGGTGACTTGGGCAGTAAGGGTAACTTCTCCATGAGCTTCCTCTGATATTACAGGAAGCTTCAACGTTAATGCCAAGAGCCTAAAATACCAATCAAGAAAGTGGGGCATGCCAGGGATGACTAAAAAGAATAGACTTCTATAAAATACGTTTGTTTTTGTCTTTTTTTGTGTGCCTGTGAGTGAATTTAGCTTGGCTCGGAGTGAGACCAACCGTTAACGGAGAGTCAAAAGTAAAGAGAGCTCCAGTCCAAGATGATCAATTGAAAAAGACGAGGGATCTTGTTCACTGAAAAAGACACCATCATTTTGTTCACTGAACAGCACATCATTTTTATGCATTGTAAATGAAGGGGAAGATCAAAGAAAACTAGTCGATAGAAACTATTTACAATAAAAAAAAAAAAAAAGAATTATTCTTTCATATTCAATTCATCAATTGTGCTTCTTTGAAATTTTTTCAAATTTAATTTAGAGATAATTAATGATTTTATCCATAACTAGGTGCGCAATTCGTTTATGGTAATTATTAACTACAATAATATTAATTTTAAATAATTATTCTTAACCTTATTATACTTAATAAAATAAAGAAGTCTATATATGGTGGAACATCTGTATTTTGTTCATTAATACAATGATTTCAATTTATATTAATTTTCATATAATTGGAAGATTAACTTCTAATTAATTTATTGCTTACTAGTGTAGTACAACTAATGTTTGATCGTATGCATCTACGCAGAACATGCATTAAAATGCATATAAATCCTATAGCTATATTATTAATCTCTCCCCCCTTATTTTTTCATTTATATTATTTTATTCTAATTAATTATTGTATATATAAATTTTAGTAGGAAATGAAAGGACTTTTCCCACTTGTCCCAATGTCCCAATAAAAGAAAATTAAAAAAAAAAAAGAAAAAAAAAAAGGACAAACAGACCGCAATGGGATTTACGTGCATTTACCACTCTAAAGTGGGCTCCTACCTAAGTCTAGATACTCCTAACTAACTCTAGCTCTAGACTCCTAACTAACTCTAGCACATAAAAAAAACAAAGCAAAAGATTGTATAAGGTAAAAGAAAATCCTAAACGCTAAGAAAACGACGTGTCGAGCAAATTTGTGATTAACATACTAAAACCCTCCTAACCGCCTGATTAGAATCAAGGGATGGAAAAAAGATCAAATCAGGGAATGAAGGTGCACCTGAAGCGAATCCGCTTGAGATCGTTGCCGCCACGCCGAAGCGAAACGAACGTGATTAGCTCCCCGGGCTCCACCTGCGCCACCCATTCCTTAGGTTCCCTCTCTTCGACGAACAAGATCGGTTCGGCTGGGCGCCCGCTCATCGATTTCCACGTCGCCTCTCCGCTCGAGCTCGATATCCCCTTCAGCCTCGCCTCCATTTCTTTCCCCCACATCCTCTGGGTCCCGGAGCTTGAACTCCCCGTCCGACGATACGACCACCTGAACAGGTCAGAATCCGCGTCTGATTCCCCTTGGTTCCGGAATTGGCTCTGCGCCACGCACGGAGTGCAGTGTCTGTACGCCCCCGACGCCTTCAGCGCCATGTCCTTCAACTGAAATTAATCCAGAAACCATCTATTAGGGTTTATATTAAAAAATGAGAAGAGAAGGGAGTGCTGCAGCTCTTAAATTTCCCTGTTTTTGTTTTTGTTTTTTTTTTTTTTTTTTTTTGGTACGCAGGGACAAGCGGGGAAATATCCCGCCAACAAGTGCTTCCACTGCACACATGGCATTCACGTGTGTAAAAATAATATCATCTCATAAAAACGCTTCACAATGGATTTTTGGCGTTACATGATTTTTTTATATTTTGTGTGTTATAATAGTGTATTTATTATATTTTTTATTATAAATATATGTAAAAAAAATATACAAATTAATTTTAATTTTAGTATTAGATAATTAATAAAATAAAAATTGAATTTTATTTTTTAATATAAATTTATGATAAAAATATATATTTAATATATATTTAATTTATATCTTTAAAATATAAATTAAACAAATCATTTCTATATTACTGTTTAAGTGTCATATATTGTGTTTTTTAATGATTATTAACTTTTCCCATGATTAGCACTTTATATATCGTTAAAATATTAATTTTTTTTATGAATTTAAAAAAAATAAAAGACATTAATTTTGATAAAAATTACTTTAAAATATTCACCCAAAAAAAAAAGAGAGGGTGAAAATAAGTACTCTACCCTTTGTTTTTATTGGTTTGTGTCCGTGCTTCTTGTTATTATTATTTTTTCTCATAGTGTGTACAAAGACATTCTTTCTGACGCATATACTGCCAGTTGGGCGGCTGAGAAATTATTTTTTGTAAGAAAGATACATATGCAGCTTCCTCCAAACTGACCAAAAGACTTTCTCTAGCTAGGCAACTTCAGTCAACCTCAACCATCACTGGCAAAGTTGCAAGGAAGATCCATATGCAGCTTCCTCGAAACTGACCAGAAGACTTTCTCTAGCTAGGCAACTTCAGTCAACCTCAACCATCACTCGCAAAGTTGCAAGGAAGATCCATATGCAGCTTCCTCGAAACCGACCAGAAGACTTTCACTTGCAAACCGTGTCTAGTTACATCCTTCAATATTCATCTCTAAATCTGCAGTACCGATATCCATGGCTGTTCGATACACGCCACTGGTGCCCACAACGGAGCCCCTGCAGGAATTAAACCATACCCCCATATAAAAAGCCTGAAGAGCTCCTCCACCATCTCACAGGTTTGTTTGTCTCTTGATTTTATCCTGGCATTAACTATTTCTCTTTACTTTTAGCGAAGTGTCTCAATAACAAATAAGGAATTGAGATTTGTAATTGAAATATGCAAAGTAAAAAGTTTTAAAAAGAAAACAGAGACAAATTACCAAATAACAACAACAATAATAATAATAAGGGGATGGAAACGAAGTATTATATTTATATATGTGATGATTTGAAAAGAAATTTCCTCATAAATTATCAAAATATGGGATGAGAAATGTAGGGAATGTGGTTTGAATGATCAAAGTTGAAGTTTGCCTTGAATAAGCAAGGTGTTGACACTTTGACTAAGATGCTGACACCGCAGGAGCAATGTATAAAACAGTAGCTAAAAAGGTTCCAAACACTTGGTCAAGGTTCTGGACCCTCAATTGGAGGCATGGCTGCTGCCTTGTTCTAGAGACGTCGTAGTGTGAACACCTTAGCAAAGAATTGGCAGCTTTACTTTGTTTCCTAACCTAAATTCAAGTGAATTTTGAAATTCTAATTAAGGAGTGTTTAAATAAAATATTTAAAAAAGTCTTAAAAATTTTATGAAGTTTTAGTGAGATTTAGTTTCCAAACTTTAGAAGGAACTTTCGGGGCTTAAATTTGTACTTCTAGTAGGAATCTAAAAATCCTACTTAGATATAGTATAAATATGTGTTATTGGTAAACATAAGATGAGTGGTAAAGACATACCTCTAGTGTTGAGATCCCACGCTCATGGGGTGATGAGTGGCAAGCGAAAAGATAAAGAGATGTAAGAAGAATCTTGAGAGACATCTTAAGAAGATTAAGAGTATATAGAAGAGATAGAGAGTGACCTTCTAATATCTAGTATTGTAACTCTTTTCTCTTGATTAATAAATCTCTCATCTTGCTCTGTGATTTTTTCTATAGAAGATTTTTCACATTAAATAGGTATTTTTTTCTTATTATTTTATTTTATTAATATTCGCTTGCATAATTCTCTGGTGAGTCACATCCCAACAATTAGTATCAAAGGGAATTTTATTCCCAAGGTGATATCAGAGATCAAAGGGAAATTTCTTAATCTCAGACAGGGAACTGCATAAGGAAATGAGATATGGATAGTTTATTAATACGACTTTATATCTCTGTGCCATTAAGTCAATAGAGACATATAACATTATAGTCTTGTAAAGGGTAAAAGTCAACTATTTAATGATAAGTATGGTTGTATGAAAGAAAATTTGTATATTAAAATTGTCCTCAAATCATTTCCGATGGGAACTAACACTGGAGTTTACGCTAAAAATGTTTATTTTTGGATATTGTATGGCTTCATCTAGATTAAATCATTATATAGCAGTACAACACTTTCTAATTTGTAGAGTTCCTGTGGACTATTAATTCCAACTATTGAACTTGCATTTAATCTTTTTTTTTTTTTCTACACAAATCGTAGGCTTTGAGTTTTGAATTTGATCATGGCAATGGACCCTTTTCTGGCCAATGTACTAGCTAATGCCACTGGTAATCTAGTATCTAATTGTGTGGAAGGAGTAGCGAATTATGTTGGAGAACATATTGGTTTGTTAAATGGATTAGAACCGGAGGATAATTTTGAATCAATATTGAAAGAAGAAGCAGAGAGGCTACGGGCTTTAAGAGATGATAATGAGTGGGAAATCCGACAGAATAAAACCAAAACTACCTCTAGCTGTTACAACCAGTGGCTTGGTAGTGTGACCAAAATTCTCCCAGAGCTGGAAACATTACAAGCTGAATGTGAACAACAAAGGAATGTATTGATAGAGTGTGCCATTGGATCAAAGTTTTGGGAAAAAGTGAGAAATATTTTGCAAAGAGTCCAAAAGCTTATGGAAGAGGGGAAATTTCCTAGAGGTTTTTTGATTGATAGACCTCCAGAACCTGTAATAAAGCTGGGATCAGTACCGGACATCAAAGCAACTGCCACACTCCAAGGACATTTGGAGGAGATACTACTGTTGCTCAGTTGTGAAGAAGTGAAGACTATTGTGATTTGGGGGCCATTGGGTGTCGGGAAGACCACAATAATGCAAAACTTGAATAATCATGAAAAGCTTGCAAAAATGTTTCAAATGGTAGTTTGGATAACGGTATCAGAGGAGAGGACTATAGAGAAGCTGCAGATAGAGATGGCAAGTCAGCTTAAATTGAATTTGCAAGGCACTGAAACTACCCGTGAAGTTGCTAGAAGCATATCAGAAGAGTTGAAAGATAGAAAATACTTGCTCCTCCTAGATGATGTCAAGGGTGTCATTGATCATGATCAGCTGAATAGTATTGGAGTGCCGGATAACAAAAATGGTAGCAAAGTGGTATTAACAACTGAAGATCGTAGAGTTTGCTCTAAGATGGAATTAGTCAGGGACATAGAGGTTGAAAAATTAACTCAACATGAGGCTTGGGAGATGTTTAAACAAATAGTAACTGATCAAAAAATTAAAATTCCTGGCATTAAATCAGTTGCTCAGCGGGTTGCCAAGGAGTGTGGTGGACTCCCCCTTGTGATAAAGACAGTGGCCAGTTACTTTAAATTTAAAGACAGTGCTGCTGAATGGAGGAATGGCCTGGAAGAGCTCAGAAATGGTTCTGAAGTTGAGATCCCACATTTAACACAAATACATGCATTCTTGAAGTGTTGTTATGATGACTTGAAAGATGAGAACAAAAAGAGATGCTTCCTTTATGGTGCACTACATCCGGCAGACACAAAGATATCCACAGATTATTTGGTGATGTGCTGGGCAGCTGAAAGGTTCCTTGGCAATGTTGATGACAGGAGGAGTTTTCGCACTGCATGTGATAAAGGGTATGTCATATTACGGTATCTAACAAATGTCTCCCTATTGCAGACAGGTAAAAGGATGGAACATGTCCAAGTGAACAACGTTGTGCGACAAGTTGCACTACATATTTCCTCAGAAGACCATCACTATAAATTTCTAGTTGGAGATCAAACTGAAACTTCACCTGCTTCTCAAAAGGTGAGTGACTGGGAACAAGCAACAAGGATCTTTATGATTGATGCAAAATTGAAGGACTTACCAAATTTCCCAAGATGCAGCATGTTGTTGTCACTACTTCTACAAAGGAATACTGACTTGAAAGCACTTCCTCGATCTTTTTTTGAAAATATGCAAAAGCTTCAAGTTCTAAACTTGTGCAGAACTGGAATAATGTCCCTGCCGCACTCTTTTGCAAATTTGTCTGAACTTAAGGCACTTTTTTTAAATGATTGTATTGGTATGACATGCTTGCCTTCCCAAATCAAACAACTTTGTTGTCTTGAGGTGCTTGATATTCGAGGCTGCAAGGTAAACTTCATACCACCTTCTATTGGAAATTTGGTTCAACTAAGGTGTTTGCGGGTTTCATACTATAAACCAGCCACACGAAATGGCTATGGAATGGAGATACTACATTACAGTGTGATTTCAGAGCTTGTCAAATTGGAGGAACTAGTGATTGATGTGATCTCTTATGACCAATGGTGCATTGAGGCTACTAATGTTATTTTGCAAGTGGCTTTCTTGCAGAAGTTAACTTCTCTTAAGATATGTTTTCCAAAACTAGAAGCCCTTTGGACTTTGATGGAAAGAAGGTCGGATTGGCAGGATCGCCAGAAGTTATCAAAATTTTGGTCATTTATTGGTTGCCAAAACAGTAGTTCTCTCGAAATTCTTGACTATTTCAGCTATCCAATAGATAGATATTTGAGATACGACTATGACGGACATCATATTGGCTTCACCATTTCTAATATGTTTCCTGAGACAGATGCATTGGAATTGACTGGCCACAACAACATTTCATGCTTCTCAGACTTCATGCAAGCATCATGCCTCAATGGAGTTGTTGGTTGCCTGGTTGAACGATGTAGCAACATGGTAACCATTATTGGTGGAAATAATGCAGGAGGCACAAACATCCTTCCATCTTTGGAACAATTACATTTGAGGAATTTGCTAGATTTGAAAAGCATTTTTGAGGGGCCATTGCCACAAGGAAGTCTATCAGAATTGCAAACAATAGCAGTGAAAGGTTGCCCTTTGTTGACAGAGATATCCTCAAATGGCCTAATTCAGCAACTGCCAAAACTCACAAAATTAACAATTGAGAGCTGTGATGAAATTAAACAATTGATTCAGGAGTCTAGTGGCAGTGGAGCAATGCCAAATCTTGAGGTCTTGGAATTAGTCGAGATGAAAAAGTTAGAAACCATATGTGCAGAAGAGTCATTGGTATGGCCCAAGTTAAAGGAGCTTCGGATATACCAGTGTAGAAAGCTGAAAAGACTTCCTTTCAACAGAGAAAATG